TACTTCCCCTACCTTTCTTTGGCGTGGGCATTGGCCTCTCCCTCGCGCACCGTGAGACACGCATTTAGAAGAAGTACTCCTGCAGTGTAACAGTATCAATGCTACGGATGTGAGCAGACAGGAACACAATGTATAGACATTGTAATTCTCAAGCATGACGTGGGTGTGAAGTTTAGGGTTTTAGGGTTCGAGGTTATAGGGTTTAGGGTTTATTAGCACTGAGAGCTAGCAGAAAAAAAACAGACAAAAGGATTAGTAAACGCATCGGTGTCAACACGGTATGTGAATAGTCATTGTCAATCATTCCGCTGCTGTCAGTTGCCTTAGCTTTGTATTACTAAGGCTGTAGGCTGTGGTAGGTATGAGGGTCACGTTGCACCCTTCAAGCAGCATGATTTACACTTGCCATGGATGCTTTTGGACCGATTAGGATATATATATATATATATATACATATTATTACATTTGCTATGGATGATTTTGGACTGGTTAGGTTCTATTGCACTTGCTTGGGATGCTTTTGGATCGGTCAGGGTTTGTAGGTGATTTAGGTGGAGAGATATCCGGGGGCATGGTAGAGGAGAGCACCAGGTGTACACACACAGACAACCATGACACAGGACACATACAAACACATATAGCGTACGGAAGTAAAACATACAACAACATATAACGTACGGAAATAAAGGATATGTACACTTTTGAACGTAACCGTGAGAGTCACTAGTACACACCGTACATGTAGTACACGCGAGCAAGCACTTAGAACACCTTGTTTGGCCCAGTTGTTCAGATAGCCGTGGTTGGGTGCCATGAAGCCAGCAATGTCTGTTGTCAGCTCTTTGTATATGTTGACGAGACTGGATGGGGGTTACATGAGTGATCATGAGGTCTTGGCTAAGGTACACGAGTGAACATAAGACCTTGTGTAGGAAGTAGTGTGGTAGTACAATGCCAGGTAAGCATGTATGTGACTCAATAGGCGGATGCAACTCACAGGTGTAAACCATAAACCCTAAACCCTGTACTCACAGTACGCCATGGGCACAACCGCATGGTTTTTAAACCGGACAGTCTAGTATACTATTATATGTACACAGCACACACATGTCTCTGCATGTATACACCAACACATCTCTCCAAGTGCAATCAAACATGTGTCTTTGCAAGTACAACAACACACAGATATATACAAAAACATATAGAAAGATATATACAAGAACATGTAGCACAGGGGTAGCACAGGGGTAGCACAGGGGTAGCACAGGGGTGGCACAGGAGTAGCACAGGGGTAGCATAGGGGTAGCACAGGGGTAGCACAGGGGTAGACGTGCAGACTATACCTGGGTGGGATCTTGACACCCGGAATCACACTGAAGGAGAGACCTGTAGGGCAGGAACCGTTGTGTGAGTGTTGTTGTGTGATCAAAATTAAAGAATAAGCCAACATGGCGGAGACTGTACTTGTAGTTTATGGTCCGTGGCTTGTGGTTTATGGTCCGTGGTTTGTGGTTTGTGGTCCGTGGTTTGTGGTTTGTGGTTTGTGGTTTGTGGTTTGTGGTTTATGGTTTGTGGTTTAGTGGTTTGTAATTTGTTGTTTATGGTTTGTGGTTTATGGATTGTGGATGGTGGTTTATGGTTTGTAGTTTATGGTCTGTGGTTTATGCTTCGTGGTCTAGGGTTTAGGGTTTAGGGCTTACAGTTTGATGTTTTTGGGTAGTAATTTGTGGTTTGTGGTTTAGAGTTTAGGGTTCATAGTTCGATGTTTTTAGGTAGTAATTTGTGGTTTGTGGGTTGTGGTTTATGGGTTGTGGTTTGTGGTTTATGGATTGTGGTTTATAGCTTGTGGCTTTTGGATTGTATTTTGTGGGTTGTGGTTTTTGGATTGTATTTTGTGGGTTGTGGTTTTTGGGTCGTATTTTGTAATTTGTGGTTTGTGGGTTGTGGTTTGTGGTTTGTGGTTTGACTTGTGGTTTGTGGTCTGTAGTTTGTGGGTTGTGGTTTGTGGGTTGTGGTTTGTGGTTTGTAGTTAGTGGTTTGTAGTTAGTGGTTTGTAGTTAGTGGGTTGTGGTTTGTAGTTAGTGGTTTGTGGTTTGTAGTTAGTGGTTTGTGGTTTGTAGTTAGTGGTTTGTAGTTAGTGATTTGTAATTTGTGGTTTGTAGGTTGTGGTTTGTGGTTTGTGGGTTGTAGTTTGTAGTTTGTAGTTTGTGCGTTGTGTAATACACATGTGGTCATACAACGTGATGTGTGTGCAGCGCAAATAGAGAGGCACTCGTAGTCGCACATTCGCGAGCACAACAGAATTGTATAAGTCGGATGTCGACTGTCTACATATACATGTGGCTAGACTGGCACCTTGTGCATGGATGTCACTGTCTACATATACATGTGGCTAGACTGGCACCTTGTGCATGGATGTCACTGTATACATATACATGTGTTTAGACAGGCACCTTGTGCATGTATGTCACTGTATACATATACATGTTGCTAGACTGGCACCTTGTGCATGGATGTCACTGTATACATATACATGTGGTTAGACAGGCACCTTGTGCATGGATGTCACTGTATATATATACATGTGGTTAGACTGGCACCTTGTACATGGATGCCGACAATACGTACATACACGTACGTCGGCTGAAGCCAGTCACATACATGTATGCCGACTGAATACATCTCCACACAGTTCAACTAACAGTGTACATGTATGCTAACTCGGGTAACTGCACTGCTTTCGTACGTACAACCATGATTGACCATTTAGGATACTACACTGTAGTGACTGACTGCTGAAGAGCCCATGTGCAGTTAGGCCCATGGTACATGAATGGGGACTATGTTTTCTTGCAAGAATATTTTGTGCACTGTTTTAATACGATGAGGTGGTGCCGCTGAGTACGCTAGGGTAGCGCATAGATACATTGCGCGTGTATGCAGTGGAAGCTGTAGACGCAGCATGGGACAGAGGAAGGATTAACGGAATACAAAACATGGGCTAAACAACATGTACCAACACTACGAACAAACAACATGTACCAACACTAAGAACAAACAACATGTACCAACACTACGAACAAACAACATGTACCAACTCTACGAACAAACAACATGTACCAACTCTACGAACACCAATACTTGGGTGAGGCAAGGCTGGGCGATTGTATGGGAGTGTAGACACATATGACAGAGGCTGATGTGCACACAATATCGAATGCAGAGACTTACCATGCGCCTGGCCCTTTCTGTGGTAGGGATCTGTGTGTGGTGATGGCAGAAGGACAGAGGAATAAGAAGCGACATCGCGAATACATTATAGCATTGATATATATTCAGCGTGAGTGCGATTGTTAAGTAATAAATACAGAGTGGCTACACGGGGCTCGCGCTTTTAGCAGTTGTTTATATAATCATAATTTGTTTGACTGTTGCTAGACACTGTATATAT